GTGTGTGTGTGTGTGTGTGTGTGTGTGTGTGTGTGTGTGTGTGTGTGGATATGTGTGTGTCACTGCTTTCTTTGCCCCTTTATAATCTCCCCCTGGCAGCCACTGTTGATGCTTACGCACTGAATGAGCTGCTTTGTCAAGAATAAGCTTTGGTTCACTTACTTCCAGTTCAAACGTTGTCATTGCCAAATGAAACATTTCAGCGTTAAGCTGGACTTTTCATGGTGAATGAACTGAAGAGAGCTGAACTCAAACTTGCTGCGTAACCTCGGCTTGAGCTGCCACTTTGCTTTTTTTCATATGACATGGTAAAGGAAGGAATCTGCCTTTTTCATGATCTGTTTTTTATTTTTCTCTTTTTGCACATTGCTATATATATATTGGTTGTTTTCAGTTTTCAAGGTACACTGATGTGCTCAGATTTCACTCAAAACCTGAAACCCAGTTAGTACATTTTATCACTCAAACTATATTTTTTACAGACACTTTGCTTCATTTTAAGTGACAACAAGACTACAAGGCCCAGACAGGCTGCCTCATGTTATGGAAGTGTTGGATGAAGCAAATAACACAATGACAATTTGGTTATTTTAAGAGCCTTAACAAAAGTTAACAGTAGTCCTAAAAGTCACTCTAGAAGAAAGCACATAAAGCTGTTGGTGTCCCTCTTTTTTACCAAACTGATGGTCGAATACAGAAGAGAGGTCGTAGGGTCACCCCAAATCATAACGTTTATCCTGCGTTCACATGGAATCAGGCATACGGCAAACCAGATTTCAGAGAATACAGCAAACGGTAGAAGGCATTGTCATCCAAACATTACTAATCCAGTGGTTGGGTATAAATTGAGACTTTTAGTAGCCATTAATCTAATGAGCAATGCCTTAGCAGTCAATAATTCAGTGTGCCTTTGAATTTAGTGTTTGACTGAAAAGGTCTGAGGCCTCTGGTACATTATGTTGTCATTTTTGTACAACAAAATGTACGGAGACATTGTTGTACTTTGGTCTGATGCTGCTTTGTCAAAGGAATAACTATTACTTTCCTGTTAGGTGGTGAGAAAACAGACGAAAACATCATCCGTGCCTTTGCGTTTGCTGACTCCACTGCTTCATGTTACAGGAGCTGAACAATCTTAACTTTTATCTGTTCAACTAAAATGAGTATATGACATTGGAGTTGGTCTTATGAGACTGTGACCCGGAACAATTTAACAATCGTTCAACACTGTGCGAGTATTATGTACTAAGGTGACGATCTTATAGTGACTCAGACAAATGTTTGGCACGGATGATCTTATCACTTAAGGAAACTGATTTATGACTGGTATTCCGGTAGACTGACATGCTTTCACCTTTTGGAATGGCTGAAGGGTCAATGCACAGCTAAGCATTACATTTTTTTTCTATGTCAGCATATTTTCTGTGACTCATCTATTTGTCTGCCTCTACTCGTGTCTGTCTGTGTTTGCGTGTCCAGGGTCCAGCAGGAAAAGGTGGGGATCCAGGTCTACCAGGAGCTGGGGGAGAGAAGGTATGATCCCTAAAATGGTTTGAGCTCAGTGGACGATATTAAAGTGACGTAGTCGTAGTCATCTCCTTGTTTGCCTGTTGTGATACTTCTTCCTTTTTAACTTCTGAATAACCTAAGGGTAACCAAAGGACATCTGGACCAAAGGTAATATACATCAACATAGAATAAGCCAAAATAAATCTGCTGCCCACCATGTGCTCGTGTGCATTTCTATTTCATCACCAAAGCAAACGTGTTTGAGGGACAAATCGCTGTTAACCGGGCAGCTTTTTCTTTTGATCTCTGCAGGGTGAATGTGGGTCTGGAGGTACAGCAGGGTCTCCAGGGCCACCGGGGCCAAGTGGTCCACAAGGGAAGAGAGGTCCATCAGGTCCCCCGGGACCCCCTGGCCCTCCAGGAACCAAATTCTTTGTAGAGGTGACCCAACTTCATACCAAAATCTACGCACACATATCACTGCTGTTTTTCCAAATGTATTATAATTAATAAGGATGTCAGTTCAATGTGTAACACCAGACTGTGTTTTTGTTTGCAGGATTTGGAGGGATCTGGGAAGACGGACATGCTGATTGGAGCTGGAGTCAGAGGCCCACAGGTCAGTGCGAGTGTGTGTGTTTGTATATAGAGTGTGTACATTGTTTCATATAGAGTAAGTGGGTTTTTTTCTTCCTTTTTCTAGGGTTCCCCCGGCATACCTGGCTCGCAGGGTACCAAGGTAATACATTTATGAAAATCTGTTAAATGTAAGCATTAAAAAGTAGCTAGTATTCTATTTCTAACAACTAGTAATACTTAATGTATGATTCCTCTGTGGTTTATTGCTCTGTATTGCTCAGTAGTTGAAAATGCTCCCTCATGTCTTCTGTAGGGGGAGGATGGAGCCACAGGTGCTCCAGGGCTCTCTGTCAAGGTAAGATGATTCTTAAATGGCACTGGCAATGGAAATAGTGCTATTTCCTCAGACTTTTTATGGTTTTAGTGTACCGATACTTTAACAGTGAGTCGTACCCTTTAGAAGTATTTCTCATCATTAGATAGTAGTTGGATTTAAACCTCACTAAGAAATGAATTACATATCATGTATGCAACGGCAGTTAAAGATGTAACAGTGAAATCCCTTAAAGCTCTGTGCAACCTTTGTGTTACCTCTGTCCATGCTGTGTGTGATTGTAGGGTGAGCCAGGGGACCCGGGACCTGAGGGTCTTCAAGGTCCTGCTGCACTACCAGGTGCTCGGGTAAGTAGATACAAATAAACTGATGTGGAAATGTCACGGGGGATAAACCCATGGTTAGAATGACAGTTTTTCTGTGTACTTTATTAATCAGTGGTTGTGGCACCTACAAAAGAGTGTTGTTTTTTTCATTTGTAATGAACAATGTAGGGGATTATGATGTCAAATTGTGTAATTACATAAATGTAACAAATCCAAATAATGCTCTGTTTGTCTAACATTCTGGAAAATAAGCTTGTTTCGCTGTCTTTCCAGCAAGACATGGGTCTAATTTCTGTGCATTCAGATAAGATGTCCAGGACGTGTTTAGCATTAACTTAGCATGAAAACTAGAAACAGAACCGCTAGCCTCCCCGAAATGTGCACCAGGAAAGTCTATTCAAGTGGATGTGACTACTTTGTACAGGGTTTACTGTTAATGTTAGCTGTTGATATTCAGTAAGTAGTGTGTATGAAGGCAAATCACTGTCAAGATCCGCGTGCGCAAATCAAACAGCCGCGCGCGTATTTTACTTTGACGAGCGCATTTACATCACTCCGCGAGCGAAATTCCCTGTTGTGCGAGCAAAAGTCGCTGGCGAAACTTTAACCTGCTCGCTCGCGAGTAGTTTTTCTTTTTGACAGTAAGTGGGCGGACCCAGTCTCCATTGTATCTCTACATGTACGTCTGCGTCAGAGTGATATCCGGTCTATCCAAAGACGAGGATTGTAACTGTTAGATGTAGAGATACAATGGAGACTGGGTCCGCCCACTTACTGTCAAAAAGAAAAACTACTCGCGAGCGAGCAATTAAAAGTTTCTTACCCAAGAGTGAATTTTGCTCGCGGAAAGTAAAATACGCGCCCGGCTGTTTGATTTGCGCACGCGCGTGAATCTCCTTTGCGCACATGGATTTTGACAGGGATTTGCCTTCAATCTGTCTGCTTGTCAAACCACAGGGGAAAGCAAGGACTTAAATGAGTGTGATGAATAATTACTACTCATGTTAAACAGTACACTAGCTTAGTTATCACATTTGTCATTAGAATCAGGAACATACTAACACCCACATACCCAAAACGTCTTGAATGTAGCAAGGAATTTAGCTGAAGTGCTAGTAGTAGGTAATTAGCTAGCTTGTTCGGAGCTAATCATTAGGTTCTTGTTTGGTAGGTAACTCATACACCTGAACTGCTCACAAAGAATATATCAGTTCCAGTCTGAGTGGTATAATGTGTCAAATCACCCTTAAGCATATGGTTTCTAGATGATGGTCAGCAACACATAAATAACTTTTTATTTCCCTTTCCTCTACAAACAGGGGACCAAAGGAGAAAAGGGCAATCAAGGACCAAAGGTAGGGTTGCCATAATATGTGGATATTAAGTAATACCTACGCTGTCTGCACAGTTTGTTCCACCTTTTTTGATGCTGTATGAAGCTCGATGTTTAGAAGCTGTGATTTATAGCTCTACCCTACAACACCAAACAGCAGACGGACACAGCTCGCCACTAGCTGGTGAACATAGTGGAGATTTTAGCAGCTGAAAAGCCAGATATTTCCATAAGGAGTTGGTAGAGACCAAAGATTGCCAGGTGGCCAGTACTGAACTCCAAATGAATGACGTAAATGAATGTAACAGTTTGTTAACAAGTTCTCCAGATCTGTTCGCTGCTCCCAAGTGGCCAAACAATCTGTTATTGTAGATTTAAGTAAAGTTCCCTGTTGGTTGTGTCATCACATTCGTATTCCTGTTTGCTGCTGCCTTCTAGATGATCTACCATTTTTTCAATCAAAGACTTTCTGTTTTGTGTCCTGAAGGGTGATTGTGGTGTCGATGGACTCAGTATCCCAGGACAACCTGGTCTCCCTGGACCTCCTGGACCTGTCATTAATCTGTCGGATGTATGTGTGCCCTCCCTATTTAGTGAATCATGCAAATCTCTAAATATACACTGCTGAAAGTGGCCACATTTACACATTGCCTATTACGTCTACAGCTGCTGCTCAATGTGACAGATGGGATCTTCAACTTCACAGAGATCAGAGGACCACCGGGCCCCCGGGTGCGTAGCACTAAGCTGTTAATGACAATGTCTCTTAAGATGGTACCGGCCTCCTTCGGCAATTGTTTAACTGTGAAAAGACAACAGCTGATAATAAGGACAGAAGAAATGTGATGAATATATTACCACCACTCACATCTGTGACATCAACAGGAACAGAAATATGCATCCGATACAGGGACATAGATCATCTATGATAGATGTGAACTACTAACGCAAGGAGCCAATACTTTACTACAGCGCTATGCATTTTTTAAGTACTTTGGCTGCAGCTATGTGTGATGATGCGGTGTATGAGCATGTCGTTCTTTGGCTTCGTCAGAAAAAGGGATCATTAACCCAGCACTACTGCTTTAGCTTGCATCTGTGTTGTTTTTGTCTGCAGATGCATGCATGCTTATGTGTAGATGTGTTTGTGTTGTCGGCGTGTTGCAGGGCCCTGAAGGCTTGCCTGGCAGAGCTGGATTTCCTGTAAGAGCATTTCGTAACACTTCTTCATGCTGAGCATTTCCATCACCTGTTGACTTTGTTGCTAAAATCGGAATGTCTACATCAGTAGTTTTGCAGTTCATGAGCGAAAATGAAACAATTATTTGAAAGCAATGTAACATTTTTTTTTTTTTTTTTTCTTTTTTCGAATTTTGCTTTTGCTGTCTTTGGGCTAAACAGCGTAGGTATGGTTTTGCCTCAGATGGTGGTTTTTCATTTTAGGTACTTATCCCTTCATAAATCCAAGACCAATGATTTTTTTTTAAAATATACAGTATATATCAACTCTAGAATTTACAAAGCTCCACTGCCTCACTTTTAAGTTGCTATTACCCTCACTGAACCTCCCAACTCACTCATTACCCTTGAATCACTCCTCAGGGCCCCAGGGGACCAAAGGGAGACAAAGGCCCTGCAGGTATCCAGGGACCAGAAGGGTTCAAGGTGAGAACTGGACAGAATGTGGATTATAACGCAACAAAACATTTTCAAACATGTAACAATTGAGACAAGGAGCCCCCGTATATACATATGCAGGAAAATATAAATAAATATATAAATGTTGCTTTCTTTGCGCTAACAGGGTGAGAAGGGAGAGCCGGGGGTGACCATTGCTGCTGACGGATCCCTCTTATCAGCGCCAAAGGGCCCCCAGGGGCCCAAAGGCATCAAGGTACCAGACAAGTGACCCCTTACCTAGAGGAGAATTTGAAGAGTGGATGTCAATATTTCTTGCCAAGTCTTCTGGTGTTGATGCATCAGCAGTACAGCAAATGTCTGGACGTGTTGTTGTTTATATGGTTGCTGTAATTCCTTAAAATTCCACAGCTCAATTTAAATATTCTAAACTACTGTCACGTAGAAGCTAGGGTAATAATTAACAGTTTTATTTTTTCCCTCGTAGTTTACTGTAGTTTACTAACAAGGTTGACACAAGGGTCGAAACAACAAAAATCTAACTCACTCTAAAAACTGAGCCCTATCAAAATCAATGGAGCTTCTTGGAGACTTAAATTGGGACCAAATCTGGGGTTTTGTGAATATTCCCTCAGTTCTTCAAGAGAAACAACTCATTTAAACCGAAAGAGAAACGAGCTGTCTTTGAAAGGTCTATTACTGACATCTAATGCCGCGTCCTCTTCATATTCTCGCCTCACATTTCATTGCACTGCGCTGTAATTTGCAGGGTGACCGTGGGTTCCCTGGACCTGACGGACGTATGGTGAGTTTGAATGCTGAATAGAACATAAATATCTATGAGCTCACATTTTGTAGTTAGGAGTTCTACACAAACACATGTTGTCATGAACTGGAATGAAAATCTGCGGCTGTAGAATTGATCTGTGCATCACTGTGTTTCTGTTTATTTCAGGGCCCGATAGGACCACATGGACAAAAAGGAGAATATGGCTTCCCTGGTCGTGCAGTGAGTACATTGTATTTGTTGTATATTGGTCTAGAAATGAACATCAACATCATAAATGTGTCTACTTAGGTAATGGTACCAAAAACTCAATGCGAAAAATTCATGATCCCAATATATATTTTTTAATATGAGGCAAAGCTGGAGTTATGGAGTTAGATGTCTGCACTCATTGGAGTGTTTTTGAGGCTGCTGCTACAGACCTGGATGAGTTCACTGACACTGTGACATCCTCCATCAGTTTCTGTGAGGACATGTGTGTGCCGACTAAAACCTTCTGCACATACAACAACAATAAACCCTGGTTTATTGCAAGACTCAGGCAGCTTCGTCGGGCTAAAGAGGAGGCCTACAGAAGTGGGCACAGCATCCTGTACAACCAGGCCAGAAACACACTGACAAAGGAGATCAAGGTAGCAAAGAGGAGCTATACTGGAGAGTTGGAAAACGTGTGGAGAGGCCTGCAGGTACTCACTAACTACAGGAGACCATCCCCCCACACTGAGGAGAATCACCAACTGGCTGACGTCCTGAATGTGTTGTACTGCAGGTTTGATAAGCCCACTTTTACACTTCCCAACTGCTCTGATATCAAACAAGCACCTACACCCCCTGCCACCTCCTCACCTCTCCCAACCAACCCCCCACCGGCACTGAGGATCTGCGAAGAGGCTCTTTCACAGACAGAAGATCAGCAAAGCCCCAGGCCCAGACGGTGTGTCCCCCTCCTGCAGAGCTGGTTGTGCAGCCTGACAGAGGCAGGAAGGAAGGACCTGCGGTACCTCTCCTTCACACACCGGAGGTGAATCAGCTGGTGGCTGAAGGAGCTGCAAAGAGCTGCCAGGGCGTCCCGCAGGAGGTGGGAGGAGGTGTGCTGGCCTTCTTGACAAGTTTGTTAAGTCTCTTCCTGTTGGCTGTCGAGATGCTGCTGCCCCCAGCAGACCACTCCATAAAAGATGGCTGATGCCACCACAGAGTCGCACTCCAAAAGACCTCAGTCTCCTCAGCAGATAGAGTCTACTCTGACCCTTTTTGTAAAGTGCATATGTGCATACATGGCCAATAAAGCTGATTCTGATTAAAAGCATTTAATGAAGGTTCTTTTACTAACACTGGATAGAGCACCATGTGTCGCTGAACGCTTTGCAGTACACACCTTTTTGTCTTTTACAAATACTGATGTGTTTCACTCTTTCTCTTCCTGTAGGGACGATCTGGTATGGCTGGGAGGAAAGGTGACAGAGGAGATTCTGTTGGCCTACCGGTAAGGAGTAAAGGAAAGGGAGGAAAATATCTGTGATCTCCTTGTTGTTAAGCCCTTATCAATAATGCATTGGAACAGTTAAGACGGATATGTTCAGATACCAACAAATAAGACACATCTTTGTGCTGTTTCAATCTTCAGATTAGAATTTGAATGGTGAAATGGCCAGTTTCTTGTTTTTTTAACATCAGGAAAACAGATTGTCCTTTAAGTTAGTTTTCACTTCACTTAGAAACTATCTGACTGTCTGAGAAATGTAACAGGGCACTGACACTAATGTAATAATATTCACTCTCTCAGGGACCTCCTGGTCCTCCAGGCCCAGCTGGACATCCAGGAAGAGTTATTGGGCTTAAAGAAGTAAGTTTCCTTCTGTGGCTTTTTATTTCTCTTAATTCGTCATTTTCAGTTGGTGGACTGGCATGACGATGATGTGATGCACAGTGAACACTTTGCATTGCAATATTTGAAAAGGCTTGCTTCACAGTTAGGCATAGCTTTAAAAAAAAATGCAGTTAAATGGCAGAAACTTGGAAACTTATTTTTATTGAGAAAATGCATTATATTATATCATGTTTGACTTCCATTGAACATCACTGAACCTCAAGTGTACATGTGGATTTTTTCTACAAACCTTTAGAATAACTAGAAAAATATTGTAATCTCAAGAATCTTATAAAAGTACGACACATTTGGGTTTAGACACAGAAAGACGTGTGATTAAGTATTGGAAGCCAGTTTGTTGTTTTACTCTTGCCTTAATTAAACCATGTCTGTGAAGCTCATGACTCATTTAGTCTGATCACGCTGCTCTTCTTTGAATTTTAAAGACAGTGTTTCCGGTGCGCCCCAGACCGCACTGCAAAAAGGGACGAGTAAGTCTGTGTCGGACCTTCTGATTGGTCTGTTTCACCTTGAAATCGGACCATCCGGTGGTTCTGTTGGTGTGTGGGTGTAGCAGCATGGCAGCTCTCTGGTCTGGGCTAAAACAGCTCTTTTTACTCCCTTCATTTTCTCCTCTCCTCCCTCCTGGCTTTTCTACTGTCCTAATGATCCTTACAAATGTCTAAATGTCTGTGGGTCTGGACCCCGTTTCATCAGGTGTTAACATTGTTGTTGTATGCAGGTTGTATCCGGTGATGTGTTTTATTACCACCACACACAGTGGTTGGACCTACACGCAAAATGTAGTATAAGTAGTGGATATGGATTAAAGATGCATTAGCCACCTGTAAATTCGGTGCAACCCAGGTTCATTAAAACCCAGATTTTCTGTGTGTTAAATCCAATGTGATCAACCTTGCTGATTGTTAATGCCGGGTGTTAAAGGGGTCTGAGACTGAATTCCACTTTCCTCGTCTGTCCTTTCCGTCCTCATCATCTTAGGGAAGAAGAAGCTGGGAGGCGAAAGATATGGATATTATTGATCCTCCTTCTACTCTATGTTCATCACAGTTCTTGCCAAATCCCTTTTCAGTTCAATCAATTCAAAGAAGGAGTCTATGGAGGCTATACAATGTTGACCATGACAGGCCTTTTCATTTGATTTATTCCAAAGAAAAGCTTAAATCCAATTGATTGTATTCAAAGGGAGATGTACTAAACTCTGGCCTGCCTTTCATCAGGTGGATAGAAATGTACGGTCTATTCTCACGGTGCTGGGTTTTTGGGTTCTGCTTTGGAAACTTTCTGCTTGGAGCGTCTTCTGTGGCATTCTGTGTAGCATATAAGGGGATCTATTGGCCGAAAATTGAATACAATATTAGTAAGTATGTTTTGTTCAGTGTATTATCACCTGAAAATAAGAGTTGTTGTGTTTTTGTTACCTTAGAATGAGCCGTTGATATCTACATATGGAGCGGTTCCTCTTTATGGAGCCGGCTGCCATGTTGTTACATAACGGGCAAACCAAACACTGGGTCGAGATAGGGCAATTCGCGTTTTCGTGTTGGCCACCATAGTTCTTCTACACCAGAGGTCAGTAATAGGCAGACCTCCGGATTCGCACCCAGGTGCTGTTGCGTCCAGACCCTGGACGTAAAACGATAGATAATTGAGAATTACTACATTTTGCAGAGTGCTTCTATTTCAACCTTTACGGCATTCGTTCAGCGCCACTGACATCCGTCGTAAATCACATCATGTGATGCTATTCAGCCAATCAAATACGTGTATTCCGATAAGCTTCATGAGTCGAGTGAGATTTACACATACTAGGGAAACGGGGCGAGAGATCGAGTAGTCGGAGAGAATAATACGTGAGTCCGAAATTATTTCACATGGCGTTCTCCAAATAGAGAAATGGGGTCAGCGAGGCCACAGCCTTTAACCAAGATAGACTCTTAAATTTGAATTCTCTCCACGGATTGTTCAAAACCAGTGTCATATGTTCAGAGACCGTGGCGATTATTAAAAGTGGCAATGTGAAGAGCCACTACGAGACACAGCACAACTCTTTTTTAGCAAACAGGCACAGAAAACAAAACTCGAGACTTCAAAACCGCAGTCCACAAACCAACGGGTGACGTCACGACAACTTCATATATAGGGTCTATGATTTGGAAATCATTTGTTAATGAACAACTCATCTGAAGCCAACAATGGAAGATGAATTAATTCTGACTTATGTTAATTGGAAACATAATGCTGATGATAAGGGAGTGGAGGGCTATCTCGATTGTATGCAGTAGATTGCATCCATTGGAATGTCGCTTTAACACCTTCTTTAATGCCATTGTCCTTTGCAATAGCTATCAATGGGATGTTTGGGTGCATAGCATCCTTCAAAGTAGTGGTGGCTAAGCTGTGGCAGGGGGCCTCTAGGAAGTCATTGATAGTAACGTACTGTAAAAAACATTTGTCCATGAAAAGAGGAACAGTTTTTGAAACCGCCATTTAGTGATGCAGATCTGTTTTGTAAAAACACCTGATTTAACCCTGTGTTCCCCAAGCTTTTGTACTTTAACCACCAGAGCCAAGGATGGGTTGTACGTGCTGCTGTCTCAAGCATGTGTCCCTTGTATTTAACAGGTGTTTTTTATGTCATCTGTCTTGTTTTTTTAATCATTCTTTACAGCTGTGAAAAAATGAATTCAAGCTATGTGTTCAGCAGTCTGTACATTGTCTACATGTGCACATACAAGTGCCAGCTATTGCCAATGTGCTGGTATCAATGTAATGTTAATGTGTGTGTGTGTGTGTGTGTGTGTGTGTGTGTGTGTGTGTGTGTGTGTGTGTGTGTAGGACACAGTGACAGGGGGAGATTCAGTCCGAGCTAAAGGAGATAAAGGAGATGTGGGAATACCTGGAGAGCCAGGCACACCTGGTAAGTCGTTTACAACAGACATCTCATTGATTGACTTTGACTTTCTCTCTCACCTAACACTTGGGTCACCATTCGGTTTATACGAAGCCCCGGAGAGGTGATGGAGGGGGGAAAAGTTGATGCTAGAAAAAAATGATTTACAAAAAAGTGAAAAATTATATATATATATTAGTGCTGGGCAAGGTAACACGTTATTCTCGCGTTAACGCATTCATTAATTAACGCCGACAATTATTTTATCGTGCGTTAACGCAGTTTTTTTATTTATTATTTTTTTGTTTGTGTGGCGTCACTTCCTGCTGCTGCCCCCCCCCCAGTCCCTCCATGTACAGCTTCTTATCACCCATATGTACCAACGTACATTTATAACAAATACCACACATATTACGGTACTCAGCGTTGCATATGTGTCTGACCTAAATACCAAAAAAAGCAAAAAAGAAATGATTCATTTAAATTATTTTTTTAGAGTTTTTAAAGTGTTTGTAATATGTATAATAAGCATATTATTTAGTTATCGCTCCTGAGAATTTGTCAAACATAAAAAAAGGAAAAAAACATGAGGTAGATAGGTTTGCAGTTTTCAAGGTGTACATTTCAAATTGCATCTATTATACATTAAGATAAAGTTGTGAACACCGGCTGAATATCTATTATCAGAATCATAACTGTATTTTAACTGCTACTGTGTAAAGGGAATACTGCTGTTAAAAAGAACCTTATTTGTTTAAAGTGTTTGCAAACCAAATGTTATTGCACTTTTGTTCATATAGCAGTACTTTTAAAATAAAAGTGCACAATACACTACTTTTGAATTCATTATTGAACTTTGCGCATAACAATGCGATTAATCGCGCTTAAAATTGTAATCGTTGCCCAGCACTAATATATATATATATATATATATATATATATATAAATGATAAATAACTGCTGGAATGTGTATCATTTACGCCTCGTCATTTTTCTTCTCAGCACCTGGCTTTCCAGATGGAATTGTGGTAAGTACTGATTCATCATCATCCACCATAGATCAAACGCTGACATGGTAACAGAGCCACTGTCCAGTCCTACATTAAGGATTGATATTCACAAACAAAACAGTAAATAGTTTGAGAGGAGAACAAAAATCAAACTGAGTCAATATTGACAATGAAATGAGCTTCCTCAATGTCTTCAGTAGGCTTGTTTCTTTGTTTTTGTCAATCCCTCAGGGTGCCAGAGGTGATCAGGGATACCAAGGCCAGAAGGGAGAAACGGGTGACGGCGGTCTGCCTGGTTCTCCAGGACTGCCTGGGAGGTCAGGACTTGTGGTAAGATCTACTAAAATACCATTCAAATGAGTAAGTACTCAGGTATTAAAATGATTAATTGTATCCAATGCATCGGATTACATCAGATTCCCCAATGTTGCTGTTGTGAGTTTGGTGCTGTTGAATATCTTTGAGGTTGCACGTACCACATAGTGAAAGTGTTCAGCTGAAATGAAATATCTCTTTCAAAATGTATTGAGGAATTGCCGAAATGAATGAGTCTGTCCGTATGTTTCTGTAGGGTCCAAAAGGTGAGTCCGTCATTGGCCCTTCAGGACCGGTCGGCCCTGGGGGTCAACCTGGAGCCCCTGGCTTCGGACGACCTGGTCCCCGAGGGCCCCCTGGCCCCGCTGGACCCCCAGGAATTGTACCTGCTTATGGATCGGGTATGTGATGGGGGAGAAGATGTGGAGCTCAGCTTCTATCAATACATCTTACGGACCTCGTTCATTGCATCTGCTGAATGTGTTTCTGATGTGTCGTTATCAGGTGTCAGTGTCCCCGGCCCTCCTGGTCCTCCCGGCCCAACAGGAGCGTCAGGAAATGCCAACCCTGTAAGATACCTACCATTGAGCAAGGCACTTTACCCTTGATCTGCTGTACTTTGACTTAAATAAATACACAGCACATTGTAACGTTTTATTATGTCCACAAGTTCATAATTTGCCTTAATATTGAACCTTGTTGTGAGAAATGTCCAGTGAAAATGTATCTGTAGAGGAGAGAAATTGAGAAGAAATGTCTTTTACTGGTAAATAATGGCAGTATGACGATCTGCTTCAGGTGACTACCTATAAGACAAACCACGCTCTGAGCAGAGAGACTTACCGTGCTGCAGAGGGAACCTTGGCCTACGTGTCTGAGAAGGGAGGAGAGCTGTACATCAGAGCACGCAATGGCTGGCGTAAGATCCAGGTGTGTATTATGTATGCACTCATTGTGTGGCCATTTAACCTAATAAAAGTGCACTTAACCATATTCTGTATATTCTGTACACATGACATCTATTGCACTTCTGTTCATCTTGATAGAGGGATCCCTCCTCTGTTGCGCTCCCTAAGGTTTCTTCCTTTTTCTCCCCGATGTGAGGGTCCCGGGACAGAGGATGTGTACGGATCGTAAAGCCCTCGGAGGCAAATTTGTGATTTGTGATTTTGGGCTGTTCAAAATAAATTGAATTGAATTGAATTGTCCCTCTTTCAGCTTGGAGAATTGATTCAATCTGGACCTTCCACCTCGGCCACGTCTCAGTCCCTCAGCAGACCTGGAGACTGGAGCAAAACGCACAGGAGCCAGAGCCATAGCCAGGTAGGTACACACACACACACACACACACACACACACACACTGAGTACCAAAAGAGCAGACCCAGTTGCGTTCTTGAACTGTCTGTAGTCCGGGATGCAAACAACTTGCTTTTTCAGTGAATGACGCTTTTATAAATTTTGGAGACTTGTGTGAATCATCCAGATTCAGGGTCCCCCCCCCCCCCCCACATGCTGTCAGGTTGTGTGTCTGCCGAGTAGAGAGCAGAGAATCGTCGTCAATGTTTGACAAATATTACAGTAGACGTCCTCATTAGACGGGCTACTTCGCAAAACACCCCGGTTGCAGCAACTTACATAATGTGATTTGAACATGTTCCGCCTTAAAATAACGTTGTTTACCAAGAATGCATTTATGTTTCTTGCAAAACAAACTGTCATTGTGGAATGTCTTGACAAACCTTGCAGTGAAGGTTTCACTAAATAGTTAATAGTTAATAATAATTAACCCTAGAACACTAACGTCGGGTGATTTTTAGTCTGCTCACTGACGTCATCGAAGGTAGGCGTGTTTCCCTGCTCCCATCCCTGTTCTTTTCAACAGGCACGTGTTTGGGTGATCTTCACCCGACGTTAGTGATTGAGAGTAAAACAAAATTCGGGTTGATATTACACACAGTGAGACTGTTTTCTTGACAGGGCAAGGCTCACATTGTTTTAGGAATGTTTTGTTAATGATTCCTTAATTTTTCACAAATTTTAGAGCCTTTTTATAGGGCCCCCATCATGCTTTTTTTCGTTTTATGAGATGTTGAACAGGGGAAAATAAAAGAAGAGTACTTCAATTTGCTATGTATTGTTGTACTTTAATATATTTTGATGAGAAGTATCAGGTATATTATATTGGGTAAAATATACCCGACGTTGGTGTTACTTCTGTTACGTTAGTGTTCTAGGGTTAATGTCAAATCATTCTTGTTTGCAAATGTTCTGCCTGGACCCCCCTAGCTGGCTACACCATACCCTTGTGGAATCTCCTCTTCATTTAAGCACGTAGCACAGGGCTTTGTCAGACGTTGTATTATATTTAGCCGTCACATTTATTTCAGGTAGCTCTCTCTTTTTTAACCATATATACAGTATGTAGTAATACATACATAAATGGAAACTCTTTTAGGAACATCTTTACATTTAGAACTACCTTTAAACAACCTCTTGATTCCTGCTTTTGTTGAATAGGAGCTTCAAGAGGGCAGTAGAGGATATCAGCCCACCTATAACGTACTACCACAGACCTTCAACGCTGTACCTGGGGTGAGTGTTACAAACACACGCACACACACACACACCTACCGACACATACATAATACCAAGCAAGGTAAAATCTCTTGGCCCAACACCAGCCTAACTCGCCATGCCCTACGATGCCAGATCTGGGATGTGTCATATTTGGACCAAGTATCTTTCCTCCTCTGTTTCCTCATCTGTTTTCCTCTCTTTCCCAGCTCCACCTGGTAGCGCTGAACGCCCCGCTGAAAGGGGACATGCGTGGCATCCGGGGGGCAGACTTCCAGTGCTACCAGCAAGCACGCTCCATGGGGCTAACCACCACCTACAGGGCCTTCCTGTCCTCTCACCTCCAGGACTTGGCAACGATCGTGAGGAAGGCGGACCGCACTGACATGCCCGTGGTTAACCTCAGGGTGAGGAGAAATTTCTGTTTACATTTCCAATTTCATTTTATAGATGATACATGAAGAATGAAGGCAGGTTAATGAGTGTGCACTGTTCACCTTTAATAGTTTAATGAACTATGGTTAAAGGAATAGTTTGGATTCTTTATAAAAATAAGTCTTAGTATGTCATAAAACAGTCATAAAAAAGTATTTGTATAGTCATAAAAAAATTATTTATTGGTCTTTTAATGGCTTTATTAAAAATACCACGTTTATGCAGTCTTAAGGAGCCCCCATTTTTTTAAATGCTCCATTGTTAAGATATTGAGGGCAAAAAATTGTCCCCCAAATATATATGTATTTAATTTCCTACACTGTATGTAGTATTATAGTATAGTGTGTAGTCAGTGTATTACCTGTAGTAGATGGTGGTTGGTACGCCCCCCCCCCCCCACAGGATTATATCGATTACAATAAGGCCAGTCACACAACACGATGCAACAACTATACCCTGCAACACTCGCCTCAAATCCTCTCTCACGCTCACTATTCGTACTTGTGAATAAATGTTTTGCAGTTTGAATAATGAAAACAACTGGGCATTATAAGCTTTTAAAAGACAATTTAGAGACAATTGCAAGTGACACATAATTGTCTTATGATTTTGCTAGGCAATTTAGCTATTAAGGCTTTCAGGGGGTCTGGGACCCCTCCCAGACCCCCTGTATTTTGCACACTGGTACGCCCCCAGTTTGTAGTAGCAGGCTGGACTACCAGCACAGAAGTAAAGCGATGTACTGCTGTGGACGGGGGTCAGCAGCAAAATGTATTATAGCCACCTAAAAACACAATAGCACTTTAAGAGTATGCTATGTTTATGATATTTTCACTACTTTACCTTGCTGTCAGACAGACCTTTCCAACGGGAAGCTGAACACGTTTCTTTTGTGTTGTTTTGAACAATGATACAAATGATCGGTTAGTTTGTTTGTACAATACAATCAAACTAACCGATCGAGGCAGTGGTAGACCAGCAACTCCCATGTTCTATTGTGAGTATTGTGGCTTTGAAGAGAGCACAGATAACAGCTTCAGCTCCCCATCGGAAAGCGTTTCCCAGCAAGGTAAAGCAGTGAAAATCTTTTTTTTAAGGTGGATACAATATATTTTGCTGCTGCCCCTCATCCACAGCGGTTCATCGCTCAGCCCCCACTGGGAGCGTGCTGACCGTCAGTCCGAACTATACCTTTAAGGCGTGTCACCCACTGTGTTCTTACAGGTTTAAAGTGACACTCAACAATCAACACAGATGATGTGTTTACTGTTTACTATCCATGCCTGTTCCTCCTCTCCTCTCAGGGTGAAGTTTTGTTCAGTAGCTGGATGTCCATCTTCTCTGGGAATGGAGGCACATTCAACCCATCCACACCCATCTACTCCTTTGACGGACGCAATGTGATGTCTGACTCAGCATGGTGAGTGAGAGTATGTGAGAGTATGCCAATCATCCATAATGATGGTTTCATGAGACCCCGAAAACAAAAGAAATATTTCTCTGCAAGCACACCATAGATCTCATGTTCAAATGGACAGCGGCTGTCATTGAAATGCACAGTCATGATATTGACAATAGTTTAAATATTTTGGGGCATTTGCCTTCATCAGATAGGAGCCGATTGGACAGGAAATGGAGGGGACATAGGGGATGACGTGCAAACTGTATAACATATCAAACTGCAGCGAGACTGTGTAGGTGATATAAATCTTTTTACCAGCACCTGCAAACATTCTTTACCTTTTCCCGGTCAGGCTTGCAGGGGCTGGAGCCCGTCCCAGCATGCATTTGTTGACAGACGGGGTAAAAACAATTGTCTATCACAAGTCTAAAAACACATCAGACACATATAAATTAAACACTTACAATAGTTCTGCTGTCCAATCTGAGCCCGACAGGTCCCGACAGACGGGTTGAGGTTTGGTCATTTTCAGCAATTGGCAATTAGATTAATTAATGGATTTGTAACCTTTGTTTTATTGAGTAACTACTACCTTAGTAGTGATTTTGTAAGATGAGGCTCTCTTTCTCTCTCTGACTGTACCAATCATCCGCCTCCATGCGTGTCATGTGTTGTAAGTAGGCAGACGATGCCCCATGATTGAGGAAAAGGGAAAGAGAGGGTGTTGCTAATGTTTTGCATTAGCCTGACAAGCTAACAGTCAGTAACACACGACTCAAATACAGAATAACGTAGCTTTGGATCTTGGATTTCGATCTCAAATGTGGTAGTACCAGCTTGGTTCAGTGGGGTTTTAATAACATGGGTATATGGGTCGGCTTCTGGTGTCAGTTTTAGGCGTTTAGAGAAGAACTCCCATGTAACCTCCACTCACTATGTCTCTCTCCCTCTAACCCCCAGGCCAGAGAAGCTGGTATGGCACGGCTCCAATACGGTGGGCATCCGTCTGACCACTAACTACTGCGAGGCGTGGAGGACGGCTGACATGGCGGTGACGGGCCAGGCTGCGCTGCTGCAGACGGGACGTCTGTTAGGACAGCACACCCGCTCCTGCTCTAACCACTACATAGTGCTGTGCATAGAGAACACGTATGTGGAGAACACCCATCAGAGGAGGACCTGAGGACACAGAGGAAACACACACATGTTCTCACACAAACACACATACACACACACACATACACACAGCATGAGTGCTGAAAGTGCAGAGTGGAAAATTTGACATACATCATTTAAACGGGAAACGCATGCAGGCACATACACACATCACGAGGACATGTCGCTGCATGGAAGTTACATTCAAGTACACAGACAAAAGGCACTTTTGTTTATCCATGCAGATAAAATACACACGTTAATATAGCAAAAGCAGGCGTCTGCACTCGAGCGCAGAACAAAGGAACACGTGCCCACCCATTGGAGTACCTTTCACTTTGTATAGTTTCATCTTTAGTGCCAGTGTGTAATCCAACACTGCATAATGCTGCCATGCATTTGTTCCAGTCTAGAGGTCCATTTATTTTTTATTCACTATGATCACGTGACAGCACAGCATATCACCACACAGGACATTGGGGGTGTACTGTATGTGTTGTTGAAGTGAAAGATGACTCAGTATATCAGGTACTGTCACTGACTGAGTACAGCGAAATGACTTAACAGACAACTCCAGTGCAACTTTGATCTCCTTAACTACAGAAGCCCTGAGAGACAAGTAAGGACAAAAGTGTTCCTAAGTGTGATTCAAATAGTTTTCTCAAAAGGTGGGAAAACGTTTTGCCTGAGGGAAAAAATAATGTCCATGCACGCTAAATACAAGGTACATATACTGTGTGTTAGCAAAGTAATGTAAGTTAAAGTTGAAGAAAACAAGAAAGCTTGAAATCCTTTTAGAGTATTGGGTAGTGGTGCACGTCAGCTTCCTGTGGCCAAAATGCATATTACAACAGCAACTTATGACCCTGACTATTTTTTTCGCCTGCCAACACTTTTCCCCACCTTTTATTACAGACGTAAGGATCTTCGAACGATTATCCTGCCAAAACATTATTCTACTTATAAAATGGATCAACGTTGTCTCACTTGCCTCTCAGGGCTTCTGTAGTTATTCTTTACATATTTGCTGATCATTTTCAAAATGATCAGCATTTTTTCAGCCACAGTTTTTTAAAAGGTTTTTGTTCCTGTGTTTATGTTGCTGTTGCATAACGATTTTTTAAGTGTGAATTGCATTACCTCACAATAATAACCCATTCTGAAACAAGTAATGGACACTTGATGACACTGTGGACAAACCTGCCAAATCCTCTTCATATAGGGAAAGGAAACCACCGGCTGTTTAGAGAAGTAGAACATATGTACATTGAAATGTATAATGGCAAAATGGTTAGCTATGATGTAAAGTATACAGGACGAGTTATGATTTGTAGTAAATAGGACTGTCACTGAATTTTGACCTAATTTCAGAAGATAACAGTATTGTAGTTTAGACCCAAGTGTTACGTATCTAAGCTAGAGACATGCGATATACACTGCAGAGCAGACTTACAGTTTTCAGGATATTATGCTATAAATAAAACATTCTTGGTAAAATTCTATATTCTAATATTGTCATCAAACCCCATGTTAAGATCAAAACCAACACTGTGTTAGTCCATCACTTAATACTTTCCAACTCTCCTTGCCTGTCTGCGGCTCTCAGCCCCAACACGATTGGTTGCTACTGAAGACATAAATCTTAAAAAAAACGAGTCACAAATGAATAATTTATTAATATTTCAGTAATTTCCTAAAGCAGCTGGGCACTGTACTTTACATGCAAACAGGAAGAAATAGTGCATTTGTTTGGGGACTTTTCCAGTGGTGGATTAATACACAATTGTGTATCTCTAATGGCTCTAAATGGCTCTCTAATGGCAGCAGGACGGTGTTTGTGGGATAGCATCAAGATAAACTAGAGTGTGCATGTTCATTGTAACGGACAAACATGTGCCCCAGAGCAACAGTGTGCTCATTGATATGTTAGTGAAAATATCGGATCTCTATGGTAGAGAGGAATATCAGGCGTTGGATACACACAAAATACTTATTGCGTTGGATTTGGACTTTAAATATTTGTTAACAATGAAATATTGACTATCACCAGACTTACGTTTAAATATGAGCACAATTTGAACCATTTGAAAAACATGCTGTACGTGTCATGAGATAGTTCTTTTTATTTGAGTGACCCTTTTGATGTCAGATATTGGTATCCGTCTTCTTGTAATATCTTAGATGCAAATACGCTATATGTAAATTACTTGCTCCCAGCAAAGTCAACCAATCACAGCATCACTCACGTTTCCTCCATTTTTTTTTTCAGGCCACTGAAAAGCCAAAAAAAGAACTGGCTGGATTTTACCAAAAACATTTTACCACTAAGATCTTCTCTCTTAATTGTTGAAGCTACAGATACGATATGATTATTAAAGACATTAGCAGCGCAAGATGAAACAAAAAAGAACCAAGTCATGTTTACCAAGAATCTTAGCTGCATAGAGAGGACACAGATAATATTGAAGGATTCATTCATAAACGCAGTATGGTGCCCCCTGCAGAAAACTTTGTTTCGTTTACATTTTGTCATCACTAATTGGCATCCCATAATCCAACATTAAAGATCGAATGTCTCAATTTTTTCAGATTTTCTGCTGAACTTTAGCCCTGCTGCTTGCAATAAATGATTCAATTAGTGTCAACATTAACATACGTGCGTTAGTAATAGATTTGAAATCAATATGTGATTTTTTATTAATTTATACGGTAGCACAGTGTGACAATCTAGCAGCTTCACTTAAAAAAATTGATGAAATTGGAACATGTATATATATGTTTGTTTTTGTTGATATTGTTTAAATGTTTTTGTTTTTACACTGTGGAGGTAGGTTTTGTATGACACACACTAAATGACTGAAGGTTTTTACTCACCAGGCGTTGATTGAGATGCAGTTCCAGCGTTCTGCCTGTAAAGATGCTGAAACGAGCAGTCTTGAAAATGTTTTGATTTTCAAAGAAGTAGTAGTTTTCCTGATTGTGATTACTGTTCAAACAGGACTTGAGCTACTGAGGAATGAAGACGTTTGTACTGACTGACTGGTGCGTACTGAATAAATGTCTTATTTTGTGGGTTTTTTATTTGGTGAGTCCTTCAGTTTTCTTTATTCTATGTCCAACATAGGTTATAAAAAAAAGTCATTATGTAGTGTGCCATAAAAATGATGTATAAAACGAGATGGTAGAGTATTTCAAAGAAAGTCATCGTATACTATGTCGAAAAGTCCTAAAAAAGTAACAGTATAATATGGCGAAAAACATCATAGTATAGTGTGTAGAAAATAGCATAAAAAAGGAATTTTAATTATGTTGAAAAAGGTAATTAAAGTTATAGTATATTGTGTTGAAGAAAAGTTATGGTATAGTATGATGAGAAAATGTCATAAAATTGTGTGTGGTGTGTTTCGGGCTGATCCAGAGAAGAGCAGTGGTAGAAGTCGTGCACGAGGGGAAGCTCCTCCGCTTCAAAGCATGGTTGTCTCCTCGCAGGCTTCAATTTTACAGAGAGCAGAGAGAATCTACGTGGAGTGTTCCTCAGTGCTATTATTTGAATGTGTTCACAATTCACACGTTTCCTACATACTTGTAAAGTAAAAAATTATTAAAATTGCAAACAGTAAATAAACGAAGGATTTTACATGGGATAGCTTAGTGGCGTTACTGTCACGACAACAACATTAAAGTCAAAGTTCAGGGTAAATCCACTCTTTTTACAGTCAGAGTCATCACAACTCACAACACTATATAGCCTGAAACATTCACCCAAATAGTTTAAGAAGCTTTTATTTAAATAAATACATTGATAATATAATAAATCCAGTGGTGGGCCGTCAGGGCCTGCAAGGCCTTCTCTGCTGGCCTAAACAGAATCACAAAGTTAGAGCTATTTTATCATTTAATAATTTTTCTTAAAGTATCAAAGAGAAAATGAAGTTGTCCATTTGATTAGATTGAATTCAGGACCCTGTTAAAACTGTCATAGCCTGATATTCATTTCAGATATTTCCATACAGTTTCATCAATAACACACTTATTTACTTGCAGACAAACAGCACAGCTCTTGTGCGTTGAGTCATTGTTGTGTGCTATTAAGAGATTCTTTAGGTTTGAGGTTTGGCAGGACCTGTTAGTTATTTTCCTCTCATAAATACAGATACCTCTGTCACCATTCATTTCAGCAAAGTCAGACCTTGGACTCTTTCTGTGCATTACATTATTTACTGCCAGGTGAAGGTGTGATGGCACCTGGTCAAGGTTGTTTTCCCTCCTTGTGGCGAGTAGGTACTTAGAGAGCCAATCAGCCATCAGGATTGTGAAAAGGACGATATCATGATAAGATGAAAGATAATGTATTTTTCAAAGTACCAAAGACTGATGTTGAATGTTGCATTACTTTTAAGAAATGAAAAATCTCATATTTCAAAATGTCCTTCCGCTCTCTGCAGTGCTGTTCAATTTTCACAAATCACACGAGGAAATAGTAGTTATAATTACATTCACCCAGCTTGTTGGCCCAGTTTTACAGCCTCAAAAAATGTATTGGTCTAATACGTCGTTAAAAGCCTTGTTGTTCAGAGCGTGTTCTTACTTATCTTGTCTCATTAAGGAAATGTTGAAGTCCCTTAAAGCGAGTTTCTGGCCAACATTTGGGCACAACAAGTCAAGTGTATCAGTGAAACCCAAGCAGCTCTTCAAAGCGGGAAGTAGTCACACAATGGTTAAAAACTGAACTATGACCAAGATCTGACTTTCTGACATTTTTACCAGAGAAAGAATATCCCACCGAAATGTGTCATTTCTGAGAAAAGTGTGAAAAGTTTGGAGGAACAAATGGATGAAAGCAAAGCTTCAGTAACTGCACCCTAGCTGTGCAGTAAGCATTTCATCCGCCA